TTTCCTTCAACGACAGAAAAATAATACACATGCTGTGATGAAGGATGGAAAGAAAGTAGCAAGTTTACGACGTGATGTCTCAAAAGTGCTAGCTCCCGTTATGGATTCACAGTCAGCGAAATGCTACATTTTGAAACCAAAGCTAAGTGCTTCAAACCACTCACCAAGGTATGGATCGTTTTAATATTGCAATATTGGATTCATCGTGAATGAAGAGAAAGCAGAACGTGTGCGCCACATGCTGCATGGTTCATCTTACGTCGTTAAGTTCCAATGAGTTTTTACGTAAAAACACAAACAAAGCGGCCCTTTTCAGGGTCACCACACACTCCAAAAAGAGAACTACCGTAACAAACACACAATTTAAATAAATCGAACGTGTTCGTTTTTGACAAATAAAACTTTATTGTTGACCCCGTTCTCGGCTAAAAATCACCCTGGGCGTTTAACCGAGGATGTCCCCAACATGTAACTTTTGTGAAAACAGGGGGTGGGTGCTTGCCCAGGGAGGGGCGCGTGCGCGGGGTAATACAGTATTACAGGTACATGTATCTGTTACAGCAAATACACCCCAGTTACATTAGTTAATACAGCTATAAGTAACTATTACATAAATACAGCACAAGATATTACAGCTACTTTACCAAATACAGTACCTTACACTTACCAGATATACCATTGGTACTATAAACATCAGATTATAAAAACATTGGTGAATATTACAGTCACTTAATTATTAAGTAATAGTGGCATACCTAACTTTGTTCTGTGTGTCATTAATAGCTTTATATGTTATTTATTTCAGTTTTAATCTGTGTGGCAAAGTCATCCTCGATGCTGTTCCAGAAAATTTTCCAATGGCAGCAGAAAGACAAGTTACCTTTAACCTTGCAGGGAGTGACCATGTGACCACCTTGACAGCCAAAGCTGATGGTAGTTTCTGTTCTCCGGTGAAACCTGGCAATTATGTGATTAAGGTACAGCCATAGAATTATGTGTGATATTTACAAATATTACAAGTGTATACTGTGTGTCGTTTCTCCATTAATTTTAATGCTTTCACAGCCTTCATTGTTTGCATGGGTAAACATAACTGACCATTTTATAGGATGCTTTTCAACAGAAGCCTGCTTCCCTCCCATTTTTTTTAATTGACACCTCTTCCTCTCCCCCTGCTCTAAATCTTATGAAACCCTTGTATAGAGATCTTTCCTTATAAACTAGTTTATATACTTAACTGTTATCTATGCTTTTTCATTGGTTGTCAGGTTTGACAGGTTTCACTGTAAAATTACTACACAGATTGGTTGATTCTCCGATGCTTGACACCGCCTGATAACCTTACTACATGAAATACATTGTATACTAAACTAAATACATTTAACTGTAGCCTAAAATATAAGCAGTGATCGACTTACTTTGTCTCACTCCTCTATCATCTCGATACGATGCTAGTAATATCTCATTACCCATTCAGATTTATGCAAGTGTCACATACTATGGGATGTCATGAGCAGTTCCAGTCATTGGACTTGTCCATAATTGTACAACCTCTGATGTGCTGTTGACTAACTGCATTTCCAATGAACTCATAAAATTCACAGTTAATAATTGAAGTTACACTCACTCTTTGCAGATATGTGAAACATCACTCTCAGAACAAGAAAAAAACACAAAATGTGTAAAAACTATGTAATAAGAAAAGTAGATATCCTGCATTGACCATTACATACATTTCATTTTAATAGTACTGGAGGTTCTTATCCTTTACTGGTCACTGGTATCATAGTTATTATAAAATTCTTACAAGACTCTTCACTAACGAATGTGACTTTGGTTAAGGTGTACAGGTTCTTGTGTTCGACCAGGCCTGACATAATGATAGGTAGATGGTCGCACAGCGCTGGAATATGGTATCTGTGGCAAAATGCTACACAAATAGTGACATTCAATGTCTGGAACTGACGTCTGACACAAAAACGTTCTAATTCTTTAGACAAACATGGCTACAATTAGGATCTTTAATAGCATGTGTGTTTGTGTTTGCAGAGAGATTACAGCAGTTGCATTCCTTAGTCGAGACCCACTTACTTTTCATTTTTCATGCCGATGTAGCATTAGATATAGCTGCACCCCTCTCCCTCGTCATGTCATACTAGTGTGAATCAATATATGTTCACTTAGCATTCAAGCAGCAAATCTGAGTTTCGGCCCGAGTATCTATTTGAACAGAGACAGTTTTTTATCAGCACGTGTCGACTCTGTTCTGACCGTTCACACACACATTTCGGCACATGCAGACTCGGTCCTGTGTCTTGGCACAGGCCGAGATTTCTAGCGTGAACACCACTAATGTAACTGCCCTTCAAGGACAAAAAAACCCTCCCAACTCGAGGTGTGTCAATTGTTTAACTTAAGATAAGAAGCCCTGTTTAATTTTATATTCTGCAGTTAATTTCTCATTCCCCATTTGCCTAGGTGATTGTGAAGGATACTGAAGCAGAAGCCGGTTTAAAAATCATACCAGCACAGCATAGTGTAACGATAACCAACAAACCTTTCAAGGATGTCATATTTACGCAGTTTAAAGCTAAAGTTACAGGACTGATCAAATGCCTAGGTAAGTCTCAGCTCATGAGGAGTTTTGATAAATGAAAAGTGGTGTACTTTAAATCCTGCAAAAATTATTCACTGGATTTTAATATCAAGATTTACACTGATAATTGCTGAACAGTAGAAGGTTATTATTGGTGATTATTTCTTTTGATACCGAGCTGTTCCAATGTTTTTGAGACTTGTTTGATTCTTTAATTCTGGTAATACTGCAAGATAGTCTTGCGTTGATGCCGTTGTTACATATGTTGATGAGGTCATTCATGGGTAATACCGGAGATAATGTTTTTTTCCATTTATTATTTACAAACAATTTTGATCAAGAACTGTAACAAATAGGAAATTAGGTCCAGCTTGTCTAAAATTAACCAAGAATTTATAGAAAATTACATAAAACTGTGCAATGTGCAGTTGGTTGTCATGGAAACTGATGTTACTGAATCAAATACTATGATATAATGGTTGCACTGGTATTATACAATATTATGCTGACTGAAAGTGTTTATCATTTTTTTATAAAATATGCTACAGTATTGGTTAATTTATAGAAAGTTATTCAACATTTACAATATTTTTTTTTGCCAGGTGTCTGTGGTAGTCTGTCCATCAATGTAGCAAGTAAAGACCGTGATGGCGATGAAAGATCAGTCCAGATATCACAAGGCACCAAACAAGCTTCGTTTATTATCAATAACGTACTACCTGGGAAATATATCGGTAAGTTACTCTAATTTCAGTGTAATAAAGTCTTAAAAAAAAGTCATTTTATGATCGAATTTGTGAGTGTATACACACGTTTTTATCTTACCCTGTCTACTGAGTTAGTACATGTGACACGGCTAGAGATGTGTCCTGTGCAGTTATGAAATGTTCTACTGTTGTTGTTTTTTGCTGGGGGGGGGGGGCTCAAGATAATGAAACAATGTAATGGGAACTACATTTAAAGATAAAATAACAAAGATCTGGTTGTAAAAATATAACAGTTTGTTCTATGTTAATACAAAGAATGTGTTCTCATGTAAGAAATCCTGCGCTTCCACTTCAAACCAAACCAGGTTCTTCTAACTGTATTGATCAATCTTCAGTAGTAGCCATATTGCAAACATTTTTACTTGACTTCAAAAAGTTCGGTGTCACCATAATTGTTTAAACGGAATACTAATGATCAAAATCATTTCATTTTATTTAGCTACAGTAATTCAGGACGAGTGGTGCTGGAAAGAAAAGACGGTGCAGTTTGAAGTTGTTGATAAAGATGTTGGAGGTGTTGAGTTCGTCCAATCTGGTTTTGTTATGAAATGTACAACATCTCATAGCATGATATTGGTAAGTTGTAGCATAAACCAAGAGGGTCTATGATTGTAGCAGTGCATAGTAAAAATTTAATACTATACTGAGGGATCTGTCTAAATAGAACAATGTTTTCCGTTGCCCTCTACAAAAATCATTCACCCAGTCTTTGGTGTTTGCTTGGAACTCTAAAATTTTATTTTGACTGCTTTTCTGCAACCAATGCAGTATTTGATTTTTATGTTGCCCATGTCTGTCATTGTTGTTGTTGCCATCATCGTCAACAATTTCTTTGTGTCCATAATAACTCTAGTAAATTTGTTTCTAATCTTTCTCAAATGAGAATATACTGTTAGTAACTGTAAACCTTTGGCCAAGGTAGATTTTCATGTTTCTCATAAATATATTGTTGAAAAAGTCCCCATTAGCTAAAACAGGCTATACTCAACATTTGAAGTATGTCATACATGTGTATATAATTTTTTTATTGTAGGAGTATGTGCATACAGCTACTAGCAAAAGTGGTGGCAAGCTGACTGCTGACAAAGGATTGAATCAGTTTTGCTTACTGCAGTCTGGACAGTATACATTTACACCACATTCATGTCATCAGTTTGAACGTGATGTTTACACGTATGATACGTAAGTGTGTTTTTTTTCTGCACATATATCTTAAAGCTTTGGAGTCTTGAAAAGGTTGCTTAAATTGTTTTTATAGTGAAATTGTATTCCGTGCTCTATTTTTCTAGCGCATCCAATGAAATATTGGCGTTTACAGCTGTCAAACACTTGGTGAGTGGCACTCTAGTAACTAATGAGCGGGTACAGGATATGATTCTCACTATACAGTAAGTACAACACTCCATTCCATTAAAAAATTACAATATTCAATCTCTGTAGTCTTGTCCATTACGTAAATAAAATGATTTGCAGGATTACTGGTGCTATGTCCACTAGTATAGTCGTGCTATTAAAAATAGTTTGGTGCCGTTGAAACAACAATATAGTTTTATTTTATGCTGTTACTCACAAAACCCAGATAAAAATGCACGATCACCAAACTATATATTGCACAAGACACAAGTCAAACCTCCATGAAGATAGTGATTATGATACAGTAAAATGTTCTCTTCAAATGCCTAGATTTTTTGGTTACAAAAAATTCTGATGAAATACCTATTTTTTGATTATTTCAAAAATATAATTTTTAAATTTTCAGGCAGTTTTTCTCCAAAAAAAATATTTTGTCTTAGGTGAAAAGCAACATGAAGTTAATGACATACTTCCAAAAAGAAATTGTGCTGAATTTTAAGCTCCGCTGTCGTCAAAGTCGACACAGCGGAGCTGTTCATATTACTGATTGTCAGTTGGCGTCCATCGGCGGCGGCAGCGGCGTCAACTTTACAATTTCAACTTCTTCTTCGAAACCGCAAGTCAGAATGTTTTCAAATTTGATATGCAAGTACCTTGGATGGTTCTTTCTCAGATTTGTTCATTTCATGTCAAAATCTCAAATTCTCTATTTTTGGTGAATATTTTTGTCATTTTTGGTAAAAAGTGATATTTTCGACTTCTTGTAAAACACCTCAAGTCCGATTACTTTGATATTACATATATAGGTACTGCATGTGGCCCTCTCTCAGATTTGTTCATTTTGTGATGATATTTTAAATTTTTTAATTTTGGTGAATATTTATGTCATTTTCGGACAAAATGTGATATTTTCCAATATTGTTGAAAACCGCAAGTCTGATTGCTATACATACTATACATATTGCTCATTTTATAATATCTTCTGTTCTTTAATTGAAATGTGCATTGCTAACAGCGGAGCTATCTCAGCCGAGAGGCTGCTTGTTTACTCAATTGAATATCATATTTGTTCTATTCTGCACTCATCTCTGAGAGAAGTGTACATGAACCAAAAATTGGTTTATCAATAAAATTTTACTTATTCTGACCATAGACTCATCTCTTAAATTTACGTAAGTGCTTGCATTACTAATAGAGCAAATACATTACCCATTAATAGCAGAATAAGTTGGTTGTAGAGTTTTTGTGATAGAATCCTCACTAAATTTTACACACTAATTACACAGGTCATCCATTGAGACTGAACCACCAATCAACATCACACCTCTCAAGTCAAAACAAGAAATTGAAAGAGATGAGAAAGTGAAACAAAGCCCCTCAGCTGGCAAAGATGAGAAGAACAAAAATAAGTCTAAAGAGTCCAAAATGGCTGACCTGAAAGGACCCTTTACATATGAGTATTCATATTATGCACGGTAAGTGAAAGATATTGTTTTCAAACCAATAATATTGTACTGATAAACACAATTGTATCTGATCGGTTCAAAGCCATTATTGTTGCAATTAGCATTTTGTGATACCCACAATGAAATATATTTTTAACTTGTACATGCAAATGCTGGCTTTTTTTTTTAGAAATAGTTGCAAATTAATTTTATACCTTGTTTGAATGTTCTAGGAGTGCTGAGAAGCTCATCATTACGCCATCCTCGGCGGAATTCTTATTTTACCCACCTCTCCATGAAGTCACTGTACTAAGTGGTAAGTGCATGTACCTAATATTGGTCATCCTCAATGTAATTCGTAAAGCTCTCATGGCTGTATTTATGCACAGATATCAGTCAACTGACTATGTATACTATGTGTGGTCTACATTATTATACACTTGTGAAGCAGTGGTTCTATAATATATATAAAGTCAGGAATGATAATTATTATTATTAACCTTTTCAAATCAGACTTCCTCACCCAAATTTATTGCACTTTTTTTTTATATTCTTCAATATTTCCTAATTTTGTAGCCAACAAACAAAATTTGAGCCAATTTTCAGTTTTTGCTCAAAAAGCTTGGCTATTTTTGTCCCAATTTCTGAAGAAAAGTGCAGACTATAAACAGGACTATTTTGTAAATTTGGGATGAAAAGTGGTGATACTGGTGATGAAAAGGCTGTTAATGACATTGTATCAGTATGTACAAAATGTACTTGAAAAGTACTTTAAATGCAATAGCTGCCATTATAAAGTGAAGTGAGATCTATAGAACTAATAACTATTTGTTACATATTTCAGAAAGCTGTCCTACAGTTGTACCACCATTTGAAGGCAGATTAGGAGTGTTTCTTGTCGGTAGCATTGTACCTGCACTGAGGGATGTTGATATCACGATTACACCAGAGAGCCCAGCCAGTGATGTACACAATATACTCATCAAGACTGATGACACAGGAAAGTACAGGTAATATCAGTGTAAAAATCAAACTTGGTCCATCCAAGCAATCTATATGAACTAAGTATTTCCTGAATATTTAGAAAGTTTAGTCAGGTTTTACTGTTCGATCACAGATAAAGATTTGATTTTATATAATCGTGTGATGCATCTGAAGATTTGAAGGTTCAGAAATGATGAGTGCTGTTTATTAAATTTGCAGTTGACCCAATATGTACGCAAATCCCAGCAGACTTTCACACAATCATTGTTCATTTCTATAGTGTCCACCTTCAGAAGAGCTTCATGACTTAAATATCCGTAATTAAGCTCTTTACTTGATCCTGGTAATAAATCAATCATTCACATATTGAATACTGTAAATCACTTCAATTTCGTAGGAGAAATAATTTTTATTAGTCAGTGAAAAATCAATATAATTTTTCCGAGTAATTTCCGTGAAATTTTGTCTTCACGAATGCAATAAAATACTGCCATCTTGCAAATCAGTGAAAATTAAGTGGTTTACAACCAGGATTCAACCAGAATTCTATATTGATATTTTCAGAGTTGGTCCATTGCATGATAGCTTACAGTATGGAGTAAGTGCCAACAAGGAAGGTTACATTCTGACTGCCATTGATGGGAAACACGGCTCATTCAAAGCTTTTAAACTCGGTGAAATCATTATTGAGGTGAGTTTACATTCACTGTTGCTATGGGAATGATGTGATGTCTGGATAATTTCACAGTGAATGATGGTAATTTTGTAAATGCAATTGTGATAGATCACGTTATTCCCCACTATATATACGCCTGGCAGAAAAAATAGTAGAATTTAACTGTTTGAAAATGTGTTCAAATTATGTGAAATTAGCAAGAAAATATATAACATATAATTGATAAATAACTCACAAATTTTGCAAAATTAATGTTTGGTGGGAAAAAACTATTATTGTTAAAAATACTGATTTAAAAACAGACGTATATAACTACCTTTCTTAATTTTACCTCCAAAAATATAAATTAACATAGATTTTATCTCTTTATTTAAATGTCCATGTGTTCTCCATTACATTTTTTTAAGGTTTTTGATGAAGATGAGACGCCTCTGCAGGGGGTCTTGTTATCTCTAAGTGGGGGTAATTTTCGCAGCAACAATTTGACCCAGGATAAAGGACTGATGCATTTTGGGAATCTGAAACCAGGACAGTATTTCCTTCGTCCTATGATGAAAGAGTACAAATTTGAACCCAGTTCTCAGATGATGGAGGTTTTGGAGGGAACTACTGTCAAACTACAAATCAAAGGCTTTCGTGTTGCGTTTAGGTAAGAAATTAGATCAGCTGTCAGCCATTTTTCTGTTAATTTCGGCTAATTATGTGAAGGCTTTCAGCAAGTGATGCGTTAATAAACACATACTGACAGTCTGTTTTCTGTTTCTTACAGTTGTTACGGCAGAATTATGTCGTTAAATGGTGAACCAGAGCCTGGCATCTCTATACAAGCATTGGGCATTGACAATTGCGGGGAGATATTAGAAGAGACGATATCTGATCACGACGGGACCTTCCGAATGAGGGGACTACAGGTATTATTATTATTAGCATCGTCACCAGGCTGTGATGGGTTGAAACAATTAAACCACTGTACCTTAAAGTAATACATGCACCTTTAGGAAACAGTTCTCTCAATCATGAATGTCTTGTACAGTAAAATCTCAAATTTAGGCATCATTTTTCCAACATTTCAATCTTTCCTGATGTCTTAATTAGTGTCTACTTTTGTTTTTTTGTAGTACATAACACCTAATCATGAGTATGATGTTCAATGTGGCTAGCGTGGATAGATGAATGTTGTTTTCACAGTCAGCATGGTTATCATAAATCGTTTCATGCTAGACATGTGACAATTCCATCGCCATTATTTTCACACCTGTCCAGAATTTGCATCAATATTTAGAATAATTGTAGACGAAATCAACACAGTTTCCCATTGATGATAATTGACAAAATATGGGAAAAATTAAATGCACATTGGCTTTCATGATAGGTGACAATATTTTTAGAGGTCATGAAAACTATCACCTGGATAACTCACCTGACTGTGCTGGTACCCTATCAAAATTAGTTTAATATTTTTTTCATAAATTTAATTTGATTCCCATGTTTTTGATGTCTATGAACAGATTGTTATTACTCTTATCATCTATGTGACCATCCAGATGAACAGTTCTAAGGCTGATGATATTTAAATGACCATTCTGTTTCACTCGTAGCCACAATGCACTTATGAACTGAAGGTTACCATAGGAGAAGAGAATGGTCATGTTGCAAGAGCTGCTCCAGAGCACCGCATTATTAAGGTATACCAATCTTGCATTTCATCATTTGCAGTACATTCTCAGGAACATTAATGACGAGTACACACACCAGTATTTTATTGTTATTTTAGTAGTACAAAATGTACCGGTATACTTGTTAAAACTGAGTATTTTTTGGCGATAGGTATATAGTTAGGTTTATAGGTACCTGTAAATGTGTATTATATATATGTTAAAATTGACTAAAATGATCTTAATAGAAGAAACATGTGGTAAATAATTTATATATACGTCCTTCTGAATGAAATTTGATTTGTTTGCACACAGGTTGAAAATCAAGACATCACTGATGTTCGCATCATAGTATTTAGGAAGTTCAACCAGTTTGACATTGGTGGTAATATTATAACTGCTGTGGAACATTTGCCGACTTTAAAAGTAAGTATCAATGCATACAATATGAATGGGTTATCTCTCACTTTCAAAAAAAGTTTGTGTATTTCCACTTGGTTTATAATTGACAAATACTGTTTAAGGAGTTCATATTCTATTTATCATTGGAAATGCTTAATTATGCTTACGAACCAACACATCCACCATCCCCCCTTATTAGTCCCCGTTCGGACGTAGTCCGAAAACGAGGACTTATGGTTTGCCCTGTGTGCGTCCATCCGTCCGTGATCACCTGTATCTCGAACATGCATGGACCGATTAAGTTCAAACTTCACTCATACATCACACATTATATGGGACATATGCTCATGCATTTTTTTTATGATCCGATTAACGATTGCTGAATAGCGGCCATTTTAAGGCCGAAAATGCATCAAAATCGCACATTTTCACCATTCCGGACCCGGATCTCAGTTATGCATGGACGGATTTTGTTCAAATTTGGTACATACATTAAACATAATAGGACCTTGATGCACGTAATTTTTTTTTTGGATCGGGTTTGAAATGCCCAACTGGCGGCCAGTTTGTTTTAAAGAGTTCAGTTCTGGATCCGTATCTGAGACATGCTTGGATTGATCAAGTTCAAACTTCACACACACAAGGTACATCATGTCACAAATATGTATGTGCATTTGTTTCATGATCCGCTTAACAATAGCTGAATGATGGCCATTTTAAGGCCGAAAATGCATCAAAATCGCGTATTTTCACAATTCCGGAACCGGATCTCAGTCATGCATGGATGGATTTTGTTAGCCTTCGCAGACGAAGTCTGCCAAAGGCTTATAGATTGGGGTCCGTGCGTCCGTCCGTCCGTGCGTCCGTCTTTTACCTCTTATAACTTTGATATGCTCTGTCCAATTTTTTTCCAAGTTGGTGCAAATGTAATTCTCAATGCCATACATATGCACGCCAAGTATTTTTT